AAACATGCTACGAAGATCAGGTCCATCACCTAATAATCATAAATTTTTTAAAATGTTCTTTAAAAAAAAATTAAAAAGATATTCATACCACATATTTTTTCTTCATATTTTTCATTGATATATGGTCGAGTAAAATTATCAAATGTTGTATCAGGTATAAGATTATCAATTGAAAGTAATGTTTCTTGAAAACTTTGAATAACATGATAAATACCTTGAATAGAAAGAATATGAAGTCTATCGTTTCTCTTCCTTTCCCTCAATTTATACTAACCACTCTGATAAGTTATTGAATCTGGATGATATTGAATAGCTTCAATGAATAATTTCATTTCAGTAACAAATAATGGTATATGGCGTTTAGCTGCTTCATCTTCCTATAAAAGAATAATTTAATAATGAATTAATTTTCTTATGAAATTTTTACTTCTGCTGGTCGAATAGCAGGTATTGGTGGTGGATGTCCTGGTGCTGGTGGTTGTGCTGGTTTAGTTTCAGCCGATGGTTCTTCAGCACCTTCAGCTGTTGCTGTTTTATCGACTTTACGTTTTATATCTTCAACATATCCGATAATTTCATCTTTGCTTGGTGTAGCTTCAAGTTGTTCAAGAAAATGATTTTTAAGTGACTGTACTGAATTAACAGCAAGTACATGAAATGTATTAACAATTAAATAATCACATAAACGAATAAAACTATTATTCAAATGAAATAATATATATAAGACATGCAAACTTTATTTTTATGTAATATTATAACTTACTTTGTTAATCGTCGACAATGTGATCGTTTATTAGCTTGTTCAGCATACGTTGCTTTATCAGGTGGTTGTGCTAATGTATCAATATCCATACTATCTGGCATTGGAAAACCATTACCAGTTAAATTATCTATGAAAGAAAAAAAAACGATTGATTACGAAATATAAAAACAAACAAAAAAATGTTAATATAAATACCATTCGTTGGATCAGTTGGATGAAGAAAATCATCTGGTACAAAACCAGCTTCAAATAAACGTGTTCGACAGGCACTTGCAACAACATCTTTAACAAGATCACGAAATTCTTGAAGACGTGCTGTAACTTGACTTAATGTTTGATTTTGACTATCAGTAAACTATATAAAAACAAACAAGACTAGTTGTATTAGATTATAAGAAAATTTATGCTAACTTCATTTAATGTATATGTATGCTTCTTTTCGATTTTACAAAGACTCATATCACTTATACGAAAGCACATTTCTCGAATATTTAATAAAGCAGGTCGTAATGCCTATAAATAAATATTAAGAAATAAAAATAAACTTTTCTCTAAAATGTTTATTATTTACATCTTGTAACAAAAATAATTGATCATTGAGTGCTTTTGCTGCATGTGTTACTTTCTTAATACGAATATTCTTGTACCAGACCATAAATGCTTTCCACATTCTTGAAAAAAAGAAAACGTTTATTTACTTCTATCTTTCGAAGGAGTTACCACAAGTGGCACTCACCGCTTTAGTTTATATTGGACCCATATATAGGTCTCAATGAGAGTAATAAAAGTCTAAAAGGACACATCCCTTTGGTCTTGGACGTCAAGTTCTGATTGGTTTACTAGATTGTTCGCCCATCGTTACATATTCTCGGAAAGACTGAATAAGGAAGTTTTGATCCAACCTTTGACTATAGACAGATTTAATGATTCTAAGAATATTCTGAAACTTTCAGCCGAAAAGAATGTTCCTTTCTCGAGTTACTGTATTTTCAAGTGAAGTCGAGTTTTGTGACATATCCGTGACAAAAGACAATTTTCGGACATTCAATGACCTGATGAAGGAACATTCTTTTTCGATGAAACTTTCCAATTATTCTAACAATCATTAGACCTATCTGTAAACAAAATGTTGGATCAAAATTCTGTTATTCGATCTTTCGGAGACTACCTAAAGATGGATGAAAAGCCCAATGAACTAGTCATAACACGGCGACAAAGGTCCATAAAGACGAACCCTTGCAGGTTTTTGCCGGTCTTACTGAGACCTGCCTATAGGTGCAATATGAACTAAAACAGCTGGTGTCAGTTCGAGCAATTCTCTCATTGAATAATAAATGAAAATATATACCTGAATGTTGTAAAGACTTTGATCTAAATTAAAATTTATATTAATAGTTAATTAATAAATATAATTAGGTACGAGTATTTTACCTGAACAAGTCGAGTATATCGATAATATTCTTTAGCAAAGTTTTCTAGTGGAGTAAATTCAACTTCTTCTCCTGGACGATAATAACTAACACCTGAATTTGATATAGTAAAATATTCACGTCCACATTGTTCATAACTAACAACTCTGTAAAAGTAAATTGTATTTTATAAATAACAAATCCATGATGAAGAAAAAAAACACAAAGCGAACTTTAAATTATAATAACTATGTCGTGTATCGTTTCGTGAATATGAATGAGCCAAATATAGAAAGAAGCCATCAGGTGCTTGTCTTATGTAATTGATCACTTTAGTCATATCTGTTTCACCATGTAACATTTCTAAAAACAGAAGAAAAAAAGATTAGTTTAATAAAAATAATTACTTTTGCTAAATACCTCGTGAATCAAGTTGACGTCGTTTAACTGATACACTTGAACTCCAATCGGAACCAACTTCACTTCCTTTACCCATTTCTGATGTTCGACTATTAATCTAAATTATTTCAAACAATGGAAATAGTTTAATAAATAAATTGTGAAATTTTTATTAACGAACCGGTGGCAAGGACAGTTTCGCACGTTTCTCAATTGGTGATTCAGGAGATGATATTCGCAGTTTGTTAGCTTCAATTAATTGTTGTCGATTACGTGCTTGAATTTCTTTTGGATCATTGTGTTTTTGGTATCGTTTAAGTACTGGTAATGGTTCAAATTTATGTTCGGCAGGTGTCTGTTTATTCCAATAGGCCCGATAATGATCACCACCAGGCGCTTGCGGGGTACTAGTTTTATCATCTTGAATCGAATTGAGTGGATGTGAAATAAGTCGACTCATCAAACGATTCTGATCAATGTTACCATAACGAAAATTCCCTGCACGGGTTGATGATGGTAGCATACCACTATCAGCCATTGCTTACTTGTAGTATGTGTATATATGAAATAAAACAAAAGTTTACTCAAGTACACACGAAATCATTCTGACATTCTGTATATTTGTTGTCATAACAAGTCCCTTAAACTCAACAGAAATATACAAAGCGACATCTGATTAGATGGCGACGTCAATTCAAAAATAACAAGAGAATGTATATGTTAATCAAATGAACAATTAAGAAAGATAACTATTATTTTTATGTTTATTTTCCACTAAAATAATCATTGTTTTTATATTCAATGTAAAGCAATTATTTAAATAGTGATTTGATTGCAAACATTTGTAAAGTTGATCTTACACATCCAGCAGATGACTTCGTTTTCCTAATATCTTAAGCGAGGTTCAAAATATTGCAGTGCAGATTTTCTCAAAATGTAGCTCACGTTTCGCAGTTTATTTTCGCCATGTATTACCTCTTTCTGCTGTAAACTCATTGTGCTAGATGAAAACCACTAATAATGACATCTTTTGATTTGGTTCAAAATTGATCGTACATTTTATAAAAGAAATTCACGTCAACTTCTCAATAAAAATACACTTATCTTATGATTTGGAAAAGAAAACGCAGCACAAGATACTTTTTCTTTTCTAAATTGTAGAATATGTACGTGAAAGTTTTATATGAAGCGTACGATCAATTTTGAGCCTTATCAAAGGACGTCATTATTTGTAGTTTTTATCTAACACAGACCACTTACAGTAGAAATATGTGATACTTGGCGCAAATTAACTATGGAACATGATCTTATTTTTGCCAAAATCTGCATCTCAATACATTGAACTTTTCTTAAGATATTAGGAAAGCAATGTCATCTTTTGGTTGTATGATCAATTTTGAGCGACACTATATATGCTTGTTTCAGCAGTATCAAAAGAAAAATTATATTTTCCAGTTTTGCTTGCATTATTAATGCAAGCAGATAGTTGAGTGATAGATTATGTTTGTCTTTAAAAAAAGTAAGTTCTCTAGAGGATGTACTGAGTTCAAAGTACTCGTAGATTAGATCAGGTATCATTAGAGTACCTTTTCGGATACGGTATTACCAGAATGTCACAGTATTCAATAAAAGATTGTTCAACAAGTTAGTAGATTGAACATGTAAAAACATTCTGCAGTTAAATACTAAAAAATCATGAAGTATCATAAAATTCCTTTTACACACCGGTAGCACGGGGTACCTTGAAGTCAATACATTCACTAGCGTATGTTCAAATCGTATATCAGAGAAACTTGCTGCATGTGCTGCGTCCTTTTTCTTGAGAATTTCATCATTTTCTTCCGTACGTACGAGAGAAATTTTTACAAGAGAATTTTTTTTTGTTCTCACATACGGCAAGATTATGTGCGAACTTACATGTGTGCGTAAGAGTGAATAGAGTAAACTCTGTTACGTGAGCACGTGTATGTCCTATGAAAGTGAAACGTGCATGTACACATAACTTTTTGCATAGAGTTGCATGCACTCTTTTAAACTCTCACGTTTGATCAAGAAGTTAAATTGAAAACTCACTTAGAACAACGATGATTTGATCTCACAAGAACGAATATTTTACCCTTCAACTACTCATTTTTAGTTCGTCATAGATATGCAGAAAAAGTATTTCTCTCAAGAACAATCGATATCAATTAATTGATAATTTAATATTTTCAATACAAATCATAACTTTGTAAATATTTATCGTTTTCAATCGAGCTGAAAAAAATTCAAGATGATAACTTAAAAACAATTTTATATACAAAAATTGTAAAAAAACAAATGCTTGAATAAAATAAAAATATAATGAAAAATATATAAAAAAATGATCAAAAATAATCAATTGTTTCAAAGTAAAAAGAAGATTAGATACATGAGTATTTAGATGATTATTAAGTAGCTGTTTCTTTGTCTCGGGCACTTTGAATAATTTCGGCGATATCATGAGGATCAATTTCAATAAGAACTTCAATATTATTTTGATTTGTAAGAATAGCAACATAAGTTTTACCTTCTTTTGGTTCTTTGACTTCGTCATCTTCAGCAGCTTGTTTTATTTGTTCATCATTTTCATTTTCTATTTTGAATTTTAAACCTTTTGAACTTTGGCTATATTCGAAGTTAGTACCATCGGCTGTTCGATTCATATGACCACGTACAATTTTAATATTTTCGAATGATAATCCATATGAATTTCTTGGTTTATCTTTACCTTCGGCTAGACCACCTTCTACGTTGACAAGTAAAGCTATAAATGCTAATTCTGCTTTGGATAAATGTTCAGTAGCTCGCTCTTTGCCTTCTGAAACCATGAGTATGACTATGATGTACGATAATTTTACAATAAATGAAAAAGAATAAAATACGACATTTTACACATACTGTTTGCTTTAATAGTTATGAAAAAAGAGAACTAAGAAAAGAAACTTGAAATAATAGAGACGATAAAGGAAAGAAGAATTTATTCTCGACAATACAGACACGAAAAAAAAAAGAATGAAAAAAGAAAAAGTACATTTGAGATGGTTCAAGAGAGTCCAATTATAAATTATAGAACTTCATGCTTGTTTATTAGGTGACAGATCACTTCGTCGCAATCATTTCGTCGCATGATCACTTCGTCGCGTTCTGTTCGTCGCAGAATAATTTCTTTCGTTCTGTCATTGCATCCTTCTCAATTAATTCTTTTTTTTTAAATAACCAATTGAAATAAAATAAAATAAAATAAATTAAAAATTCTGAAAGATGTATACGATAACGATAAACGATTGACTATTCTAAGGCATATGACTTTAATTGGGAAAACGGATCAATAAAAAATATTAATCAAAAGTGATCATGATAGAGCTAAAGTTTCCCTCGGACAAAAAAAAACTACCTTTTTCTGCTTCATTTTCGCATCACTTAATCCATTGTTTTAAAAAAACAAAATATACCACAAGATGCAGCGTGAAAAGAACTACAATTTACAAAGTAAACCTTATTTTAATTTTGTACTTTTTGTTTTCAAAAAAGGCAAAATTCTGTGCGACCAATTTTCGACGCTGCGAAAAAATCATTTTTTCTTATCTCACCTTTTTATCACCTAATGTGCTTTTGTATAAAAAAAAAATACCACAAGATGCAGCGTGAAAAGCTCTACAATCTACAAAGTAAAGCTTATTTCAATTATGTACTTTTCGTTTTCAAAAAACGCAAAATTCGGTGCGATCAATTTTCGATGCTGCGAGAGGATCATTTTTCTACACCAATGAGAAATTCCTTTCTTCTTATTTCAATAAACTGTTCTATGTAAATTGTAGAGCTTTGCACGCTGCATCTTGTGGTATATTTTGTTTTTTTAAAACAATGGATTAAGTGATGCGAAAATGAAGCAGAAAGAGGTAGTTTTTTTTGTCCGAGAGAAACTTTAGCTCTATCATGATCACTTTTGATTAATATTTTTTATGGATCCGTTTCCCAATTAAAGTCATATGCCTTAGAATAGTCAATCGTTTATCGTTATCGTATACATCTTTCAGAATTTTTAATTTATTTTATTATATTTCAATTGGTTATTTAAAAAAAGGAATTAATTGAGTAGGATGCAATGAATAGAACGAAAACAATTGTTCTGCGACGAAGTGATCGTGCGACGAAATGATTGCGACGAAGTGAACGCGACGAAATGTACTAGTACCATGATAAGGTTCATAAAATCTCTTTACGGACGACGTTTTAGGTCGAAATGACGACATTGTATTTTTTATGATATACTCTGCGCTAAATTTGAAATTACTCACAAGGAAACTAAATTAACTGATATCTACCATCTAAGCTCATATTGGACTCACAGGTAGGTCTCAATGAGACTAGCAAAAGCTTGAAAGAGTTTGTCCCATGGACCTTTGTCACTGAGTTATGATTGGTTTAGTAAATTTTTGTTGATTTATTTGTAGGTAGTTTCTAACAAGTCAAATGATAGAATTTGGTTGTAAAATTTTGCGTCTATAGATAAGTCTATAATGACTCTTGGAATATCGTGAAGGTTTCATCTGAAAAGAATGTTCCTTCATCAAGATATTGAATTTCCAAAAATTGTTCCTTGTCACAAAAGTCAAGTGAACATGAAAACTGAATAACTCGACGAAGGACTAATGTTTTCGGCTGAAACTTTCAGGATATGCTAAAAGTCATTAGACCTATATCAAGGCAATAATTCAGAATCCAAACTTTGCTATTCGGTCTTTCGAAGAGTGTTTAAAAATCGGTCATAACTCGGCGCCGAAGGCCAATTGAAACGAGTTTTTTAAGCTTTTATCATTCTCACTGAGACATGGCTGTATTTCCAACATAAACTCAAACGGTGGATGTCAATTGTGATGATTCCCTCGTCAATAAGATGGCCATAATTCGAAAAGAAAGTAAGAAAACGACGAATTATTAATAGCTTTATCTGGCCCCAATAGACTTTATCTATCGACATAAGTCTCATCTCAAAAGTTTTCTATCACCTGAAGAGATTCTTTTCGTCATAGCAAAGATATTTTCTATTATCTATCAGAATGTTCTCAAAGGAAAAAAAGTATAAGCAAATCATTTCATTGTATCAATCGAAATGAATTGGTTAATATTTATTCTGGATTCAAGTATATTTTTTGCAAGATTTAACTAGATTGACACTCTTTTTTTACGAAATGAAATAAAATAAAATAACACCACAACTTTACGGAAGACAACTTTCTCTAACACTTTTCTATACATTTTTGAAGAAAAAAAAACCAACGAATATGTATAACCACTTATCTTACTAAACTTATACTAAATGTATTCCATTCATTCATTCTCAATTTATATCCGAGTTCAAAATAGCATTAAAAGAGAACAATAGGTCAATGAGGAGAAATCTGAAGAATTCATAAAATAATATATGAATGAAAATAATATTGTCTATTTTTTATTTAGGGAAAAATTTGAAAATGGAAAAAATATTATTATTTCTTATTGGGAATTCTTATTGTCTCAATTAAAAATTTATTCAGCGCGATCACGTCTTCATGATCATCAGTTACTGTTAAAAAAGAAATTACATCAACTTAAACAAGAACAAAATATTTCTTATGATCATCAATCGACAAACTATGAAAATGAAATAGAATCATTCGAAGATTTAGAAAATAAGTGTTTAGACGTTTATGAACAAGCTCATTATTCGCCAATATTAAAGAATATAAATGAATTGGATATTGAAATTCCAAAAAGATGTATAGATGAAATAGATGATGCGGAAAAATTAAAACAACGTCAACCAGTTATGAAATCTGGATCTATGCAAGTAATGAAAAATAATAATTATTAATAAATATATAATTTTAATTTTAATTTTTTAGACTAATATTAAACATATTTCTCAAGATTTTGTTGAAAATTTCAAAGATTTGGCAGCAGATGATAGTACAATTATTAATACAATACCGATTGATGTTTAATATGAATGGTCCGATAAATATAATCTCAGAAAACCTCGTGTTTTGAATAAAGTTTATACTGTATGTATATGTATTACTTATATAATTACTAATTATTTCTTAAATAGGGATATGATTGGAATCAATATAATAGAACACATTATGATAGAAATAATCCTCCACCGAAAACTGTCCAAGGTTATAAATTTAATGTAAGTTATTTATTAGAATTTACAACATAATATTTATTTATTTTAGATCTTCTATCCTAATTTGAACGATAAAACAATGATTCCATCTTGTCATCTTGTATGCACTTTTTTTACTTTAATTTTTGATATGTAACGTTTCTCTCTATTTGTAGATGGATTGTGAAGATAATAAAGATTTTTTAATTCTTAAATCTCATGCTGGACCACCATATGAAGTAAGAAAATTTTTAAATTTTTATAAGAATTTATTTATTGTACTTTTATTGCAAGATATTGCATTTAAAATTGTTAATAAAGAATGGAATAAATCACGTCAGCATAGATATCGATGTCAATTTCAAAATGATATTTTTCAATTATGGTTTAATTTTTCTAAATCAAAATATCGACGTTAAATTTTATTATTTTTATTGTACTTTTCAAAAAATTAAAAACAAAATATATTAGAAAAACTTGTAACTGTTTTTTTTATGAAACGTCCAATATAGCGAAAGCGAATATGAAGAAATTTTATCTCAAAACTATGTCTTATTAGAAAAAGTATTTGAATAATTATATGTACAATGTTCGAACAGGAATCAGAGCTGCTAACAGGCCTATGAGTATTCTGAGGTCACCAGGATTGTCAGGGGTCTATTAATAATAAGGTAGAGTTCATGGCATGAGGGATTGATCCTTGTTCCAGGAAATCAGTAAGCAAAAAATCGAAGAAAATTGTTCCAGTTTCGCTAGAAGAAAAATGAAAATTCTTCAAAATTGGGTAGGAAGTCATCTCCTCGAAATACTCTCTCCACTCGGAACATTCCTGAGCAGACTACTTATTTCTAGTCTGACTTGATCTTGTCTAGGCTGAAATACCTGCAGGCTAAACCAACCAGTTGGATGTTTCTCATCTTTTGACTACATTTAATTCTATAACTCTGCATGAAAGTATCATTTTAGTTTTACTTTTTCACTTAATTTATTTCCATGAAGATAAGATAATAATAACTCTTACACAAATAATAAATTAAAATTAACAGAAAATTTTCAAAAATTTTTTTTTTTTGTACAAGAGAGGCTTTGATTTAATGCAATGTTTTCGACTATATCAGTACTACTTCGTATAATCAAAAAATCTAATCATAATAAGAAAAATAGCATGTAGTTAGACATACAATCAAGGGGTAAAAAATGTGCGAAATAAATGATACTTCCAGTAACAGACATGGATATTTGCATTTGAAAATCAATTTTTGCAACAGTGCGAACGTAAAATTTATTTTCGAATTGTTTTTGATCTAAACAAGTTCTTCTCTCAGTCAAAGTAAGCTTTACAATGCTAAAATGGCGTTTGATTGAAGAATTATTTTGTTGGTGTAATCAAATAAGTTTGTCAAAGCACTCTCATTAACATTTGATTTTCGAAAAGAATGAGCCAGGCGAACAGTTTCATAGACCTTCAAATCGTTTTCAAAGATTCAAAAAAACGCCACATGATTAACAACACACTATATACACCTATAGGCGATAGAACATTTCAAATCTAGGATAGACTTAAGAGTTTTTATAAGATCCCTATTAAGAAGTTAGGAAAAGAGAAGAGAAGGGCAAAGCGTTTTATGCTAATCAAATAAAATACAGTTAATGCTTCTTATTTCCAAAGCATGTTTTAGGCTATATAGAGCGGGTACGCTTCAGAAAAAATTCGCAGCTAATGTCAAAAGACATGCACTTAAAGAAATACACCAAACATTTGTTTTTATCTAATTTCGACTCTTAAAAGAAGATTTATCGATCTATTTCACACAAAAACAGAATAATCGTCAAACAATAGTGTTCACAAAGAAAAGTTACATTATAGGTTTGCTCACTTTGTTGAAAAAGTTTCTTTGAAATGTAGGCTTAACCATTGAAAGTGAAGACAATTTTCGGGCAAATTTTAAAAAAATCTAATACGAGTTTCCGCTATCATTTTACTTTAAGTCATTGATGAATCTTTCAAATTGATGAAACAAGGATCAAATATTTGTGCCTACGATATCTGAATCTAGGACAGGTTGAAGTTTACTCAAGTCTCGTTGCATCACTGTCTGTGAATTGTAGTGTTAGAGATTGTATCGTTTTCTTATATTGACACGAAAGAGATTACAACTTTTTAAAACCCTAACCAACATTATTATATATATGATTGATTTAAAATGAAATAGAAGGAAAATAATGTAGATATATCATTATGAATCAAAACTGCTAAAAACTTTACCCAGTGAGAGTTTTTATAGAGTATATTTCGTTATTAAAACCAAAAATTGAATTCTAACTTCATTTTCAATTTCATATTTGTTTTCAGAACTTCTTTGATAGATAAGATTTGTATTTCATCAACTATGTGATTATAATTTAAAATGAAAGACTTTATTTTGAATAAGATCTAAAACAATACGAAAGAGTAAAAATAAGAAAATAAGAAGGATTATTTTTTTTTCAAATTAGAGAAGCATTTTTTTATCACATGTCTTTCTCTTTTGTTTTAATAAATTCATCAATTATTTTCTCTAATATATTCAGTGGCATTGATCCATTCAATAAAATCACTAAAATAAAACACAAGAACACAAATATATAGATTTAAAAATTGTCTTAACTATTTCATACCATCATGAAACTCTTTTAAATCAAATTTATCACCAAGTGCTTTTTGTACTTTTTCTCGTAATGATAAAATCACTTGACAACCAACCATATAAGCACATGCTTGTCCAGGATATACAAAATATCGTTCAACTTCTGTAATAATTTCTTCCTTTTTCATGCATGTGTTTTCGATCTGAAATTTAAATATACTTAAAAAATAAGAATTTTCTATAAAAATCTCTACCATATAATCAATGGCTTGTTCACGTGACCATCGTTTCCAATGAATGCCAGTATCAATAACAAGTCTTAGAAACGAAAAAAAGAGAAATTAGTATATAGATTTAATAAATACTTATACCGGCACGAACGGAAAAGTTGAGCATCAAGATATCCAAGATAACTATACCATGATTTATGAAAACCTTTTTCTGCTGCTAATTGTTCTGTATACAAGGCCCATCCTTCCAAATAAGCAGTAAAAGGAATGATGCGACGAAAAAATGGTAAATGTTTAAGTGATTGAGCCACACTTATCTAGAAACAAAATTTATTCGAAAAAAAAGTAATAAATATGACTTAAATTTTTAGTTTTACTTGAAAATGATGACCTGGAACAGCTTCATGATAAGCTAATGTATTCATTTTAAATTTAACTACTTCATTAATATTACGAAGATTTACAAAAAATGTTCCTGGTGTTTTACCATCAAATGCTGCTGGAAAATAATAAGCCATTACTGCTGTAGCTTCTTTAAATTGAGGTATACGTTCAACAACACATTTTGTTGCTGGTCGACATGCAGATGAAAAATATTTATCCATTTCATTATCAATATCTTCAATGATTTGACAATAATCATTAAGAATTTTTGTTCGATTTTCTTCAATATTTTCATATTTTTGTTCAATATCATTTTCGAAATTCGTGATACTTGTTCGAAAATCCTGCCAACTTTCAATTTGTTTTTCTTTTAAAATACTATAAAAATAATAAATGAATATAAACAGGATTGGCTATAAATATCTTTGCAATAAAAAATTAAATTATCTTCAATCTACTCGAAGGTATTGAGCTGATGCATTTTTCAATAATAGAGGCATGTTCAAAATTCGTTTTCTTTATAAGAAAACCGTTAATGAACTCTGATTTTAATTGTCGACATTTCTTTCAATATGTATTGTAACTTTTCTCAGATTCGGAGAAAAAACAATGCAGAACAGTTCATGTATATTCTTATGATTTTAACGTCAGAAAGCAACGAGAAAAGCGAAAGTGGTACATACAGACAAAAGTGGAAGAGCGAGTCAATGGAAACGCGTTAAATGAGAACCGAACAGTTACTCGCTAGAGTAATTACTCCCGAGTGTGGGTGTAGATTGTGAATGCTAGTGTAGACCTTGTGTTCATTCACACTCAAATGCGAACCCATGTGAGCAAGTGTCCTAGACTCGCTTAAAATGATGTTCATTAGTATCAATGCATCGATGAAGTCCTTTAAGGTGTTGGTATCAGAAAATAGCAGATTAAAACTGAATACAGTAGTACAAAACTGAACATGTGATGATATTATAGTGAAAGATAAACTACTCCCAAATTACACAACGAAAGAGACGAGCAAGTTTTTGTGTCGGAACAGGAATTCACGTACAAATAAATCTGTTCATGTTATTTCATATCAGTATAAAACGACAATTCAAGTGAATAATCAGTTTCTTCAGTAAGGAAAATTTTGCAAAGAATGTGAACTGTTTATGGTGCTTTAATCAAGTAATTCTGTTTTAATTGCTATGTTAACGAAGTTTTTGTTCTTTTAAAATCGTAACAATACAACAAGCTGCAGTTTTCAAAAATGTATCTGTTATGTAAGTCTTAATTCTTTTTATAAGCTGCGGAACATTTTAACTCTAAACTATTTAGTAAGACTTCCCCATCGAGAAGGTAAACCTTAAGACAAGAGGCGAATTTTTATTATTACATCAACATAAAACGCGGTTAGTGCTTCTTGTTTGAAACTCATATGTACAGTGTACAGAATTGTTGCAGATTAGAAAAAAATTGCAACTAATGTCAAAAAACGTACTCTTGAAGAAAAAAAAACTAATGTTTGTGTCCATTTAACTTCAACTACAGAATTAAGGATTTTTTTATCTGCTTCACTAGAAGAGAAAACAGAATAACGGCGAAACCGCACTGTTTAAAAAAATCTTGGAATTAGATTGCGCATTTGTTGTGTATTGAAAATGTTTAATAGGCATGGAAAGTCAACTGTTGATAGGGAAGAAAATTTTGCGGCAAGTTCTAGTTGTTCTAATCAATTTTTTCCGTTAAAACCTTTATTCAATTCTAATGAACCAGCATCACTTCATGCCATTGCCGATATACGACCTAACATTTAGCCATACAGAAGTCACCATTTCGTCGAAAAGGTATTCTCTCTTAAGAAAATGTTACTGATTGTTGCTGAAGATAGCGAAAAATTTTAACATACTACATAAAGCTGTTGATTTCATAAAACGAGAAACAAATAGTTTAGTTTACCCCAGCCTACGAAGCCTGAAGTTGCACTATACTTCAACATATATAGACCACGTGGGTCAGTCGCCTGTAGTTTTTTCAGTTAAGATTATCAAATGACAACATTCGAAAAGTGAAAAGCATTAGCTTGTCAGCTACGAACTGTTTGTTCAAACTAACCAAATCTATATAATGTCTTGAAAATAAAATTTAATTTGTATCTTTGATAGAAAATTGCAGGCTTTTTCGATTTTCACTAGAAGTTTCTTCGTCGACGTGTTTTCCATGTATAGTCTCGTTCTCTATGTTTCTCTTCGTTTTTTTGTGTGTAGATTTGTTCATGTTTGTGCTTTCTTTGTTGCCCTCATGTTTTTTTATTGTTACTATTCATTTCTCGTTACCAAGGCCAGTCATTCCTACCGTGTGAAGCGATACCTTAAACTGCTAAAAACATTGGAAAAACAGTGTGATCATTGCCATAAACAATGAAAAATGATCATCGCTTTTCACTGGAACTTAAACAACACTATTTAAGACTTGTTTAGTCAAAAAGCCAATGCACAACATTAAGGTCGTACTTTCATCGAATACTATTATTGTATTTATATAGTTTTTGTCGCATACAAATTATTTTCATCATTCGCATTGTACCTTAAGTAGCATTCTCTTATACTTTCTATTATCATACGAAGAATCTCATTACACAAATAGCATTTATGCATACAGATTTATCATCATAAGCTACATCTATAGTAGATATATGAAAAAATGGATGTACACAGATGCAATCGTTACAGTTACTGTATGCGAAAGTAGAATTCAACATTTTTTTAGATAAAGTATTTTACTAATAAAAAAAAATTTATAATTTCAAGGATGTATTTTTTAACAAGTGAATCACTACTCGTTTTTCGCCGCTTTTAAACGCTTACGACCTATTGCTTCTATATGTGGTGAGAAAAAACATTGGAATTCGGACAAAATTTCTACTAGGCGTCTAGATGACAAAAGAAGGTGTTGTATTATCTATAGAATTTGCTTATGAAAAAAATGATGAACGAAGAAGATGAGATCATGTGTACATTTACTCGATAACTCAATATTAATATTATGTCAATCATCGTGTGGTAAGACAGAGACGTCTTTGTAGAACGCACGTCATATCATCAATAATACAAAATTTGATAGAAAAAACGAGTAAAATGCTGCTTCATCTTAGCAAAACATTTCGATGAAACATTAGCAATAGATTTAGCGAGAAATGGAAGATAAAATCATTAAGATTTATCTCGTAAGTAATATTATTATCAATTTTTTTAAAAAAGTCGTTTGGGGAAAATGCTTATAACTTTTGCAGGAAAAGTGATAGAGACCTGCGGTTTTCATTGTTGAATAGAACACATTAAGAAACGTAGTGCTATGAATTAACCAGGTCTTCAGGTAAGGTTTACCACGGTAAATCTTTGAATGGACGTCTTTTCTAATCTAATTGACGCTAATTATGACCTGAAAATTACAGAGCATTGCAAATTAATGTTTCAAAAAGATCTTTTACTCTATGACGCTGAATCCACTGACTCAAGTTAAAAAATGTTTCTCAAATTCCAAATAAGTAACGTCTCGATGTTCATGGTATCTGTTAATGCATATGTCGAGTTTTTTGGAATTTTTACCCGTGGACGGATAGGAGTAGATACCTTTGCAAAGGATACCTATAAGTTCTGAGCTAAAAATATACAGATCTGTGGCTGTTTTAGAATTGTAGATCTCGATTCGAACTATTAGTTCCACTATTTAGAAATCAAAATCATATATATTTTCCGGGAGTGGCAATCTCGCCAAATTTGTGCATTCAAGAGTTTACCATGGTAAAACTTATTTGAAGACCTGGCTATTTCATAGTGTTAACTTCAGCTAATATTCTGTTTATATTATTTGTTGCTTTTTCAAAACAACACGAAAGAAAAACCGAACTGAACTGTACACGCACTTAGCAACACACTCATTAAGATCTCTTTTTTTCAAAACAGCGCCTTCATTCACTAACACTCTCCCACTTTTTAAATAAGATTATTGTTATTATGTTTTTTGGCTTCGACGAGATGGTTTATACCATTGCTGTGTTGGTATAGAATCGATATAAGCTCGCTTTAATAGATCACGATGTACTAAATCTAATTTGACTTGTCCTTTGACGTCTTCAAGTTGATATGTTCCTAAAGGACAGATCTTTTTAATTTTATATGGACCAATCCAGTGAGGTTGGAATTTTTTTCTGTTTTCATTGTGTATTAAAACCCAATCATTCGGTTGCAATTGATCAACATGATGATGTTTCAATCGACAGTCATAATAAGTTTTCATCTTGATAGCATTTGAATTAAGACGTTGATGAACAATATCACGTTGTTGAACTAATTGATTTAATTGTTGTACACGAGATGTGATGTTATTATGTTCATCGTCGTTAATAATAGGTATTAGTTCATCACCTGGTAATTTTGCTTCGACCCCATATACCATATAAAATGGTGTTTTACCAGTAGCATGATGTTGTCGGACTCGGCAAGCAAATAATGCACGATTAACATATTCATCCCACTGATTAATATTATCATCACCTACATATTTAGCTAGCATACCACCGAATAGACGATTAAACCTTTCAATAACACCGTTAGATCGTGGGTGATAAGCAGATGTTAAAATATGTTTGATACCGATCAATTTAAAATAAGAATTTAACATTGTCGTTGTAAAATTAGTTCCTCGATCCGTAATTATTTCTGTTGGACAACCAAAATTAAGAACAATTTCTTCATACACAAATTTAGCAACAATTTCATGTTTGGCATTTTGAGCAACTTGGACGATTGGCCATTTTGTTGTATGATCGATTGCAACTAATATCCACCGATTACCATTAAGTGTTGTAGGCAGTTGACCAATAAAATCGAGACTCCAACGATGAAAAGCAGGTACCGGAATTAAAGGATGTAATGGTTCTGTTGTTGTTTTACCACAAGTAGTAAGTTGGCATTTAGTACATGTTTTTATCCATTGCTTGATATCATTATTCATTCCGGGCCACCATGCTCTTGTTCGTAATAATTCTTGCATACCATCAACTCCGATATGCCCATATGCATCATGCATTTTAAGAACTAAATCTAATCGTGAAATAAATGGTATATATGGAGCTGTTTGTTCGTCATTTAATTTGCGAAATATTGTTTCGTGAGAATCATCATAAATAAATAAATGTATTTCTTTTTTGATTAATTCTTTAATTTCATTTGGTATATCATCACTAAATTGTTTGTGTTGTAAATAGTGTGGAATTAATAAAGGCCAATCTAAATTCTGATTGTTTTCAATTACAACCAACTGTGATGTATATAATCGTGATAATGCATCAGCAACGACATTTTCTTTTCCGGATTTATATTCGATCTTAAAATTGAATTGTTGAAGATATTCGACCCAACGAACCATTCGACGTGACAGGTGCTTTTGAGTTGAAATATATTGCAATGATTTATGATCTGTACGTATAATGAATTGCATACCTTCAAGATAACATCGCCATGTACGTAAACAAACAATTATAGCAAATAATTCTTGTTCATGCACCGGATAACGAGATTCAACATCGTTTAATTTACGTGATTCATAAGCTATTGGTCGTTCACCTTCACCATCATTCTGCATTAATACACCACCGACAGCAATAGCAGAGGCATCAGTTACCACGATGAATGTTAAATTAAAATCTGGTAGACGCAGGACAGGTGCTGTTAATAATGCTTCTTTCAATGTTACAAATGCTGTATGTTGTTTGTTGGTCCACGTAAATTTATAATTAGCTTTTGTTAAATCAGTTAACGGCGACGCTAGTTCGCTGAAATTCGGAATGAATCGCCGATAAAAACCTGCAGCACCAAGGAAAGATCGTACATTTGTTGAATTACGTGGAATTGGCCAGTTCTTAACAGCAATAACTTTACTTTCGTCGGCTTTAATACCATTTGATGTTATAACATGACCGAGAAAATTAATCTGATCAACATTAAATTCACATTTTGTTCTATTAGCATATAATTGATTATCACGTAATAATTGTAATACTAATCTAATGTGATTTAAATGATCATTTTCGTTTTTACTATAAATTAAAATATCATCAAGATATATTATAACGAATTTGTCAAGATAATGATGAAATATAGAATTCATTAATCTCATAAAAGTTGGTGGTGCATTTGTTAAGCCGAACGGTAATACAACAAACTCAAATGAACCATAACGTGTTCGAAATGCAGTTTTCTCGATATCATCGTCTTTGATTCTAATTTGATGATAACCAGCTTTTAAATCAAGTCGTGAAAAGATTTTTGCACCATTGAGTTGATCTAACATTTCATCTATACGTGGAATAGGATATTTATTTTTGATTGTAAGTTTGTTTAATGCACGATAGTCAACACACATACGTAATGTACCATCCTTTTTCTTTGCAAATAAAACCGGAGCAGCATATGGTGATTTGCTTACACGAATAAAACCCTTTTCTAATAAAATCTCTAATTGGCGTTTTAATTCAGCTAATTCTGGTTGTGACATTCGATATGGCTGTTGTGATGGTGGTGTTATATTATCAAATATTTTAATTTCATGATCAATATCACGTTTCGGTGGTAATTCACTTAAATCATCAGGAAATATGTCGTTAAATTCTTCAAGTAATTGATCTATTTTTGTATCGATTGATGAAGTTGTATTAATATAACAATTGGGTGTTTGTTTAATTGTCACCAAGTAAACCTTTCTACACCTTGATAATTGCTTTGCATTAATTAAAATATTATCAGTACATTCTACAGTATCAACACATGTATCATTGATAATTTTATTGCATAAATTTGATGCCTTAAGAAAATATTTTCGATCATTTGTGTTAATCGTAATAATTCGTGTTTTCCAATCTATACGAGGATTATTTTTAAACAACCAAGGTAGACCTAAAATCATATCATAATTTGTTTCAGAATTAATTGGAAAAACATAAGCTGATGTTATTTTTTCGTTGAATTCATCTAGTTTTAATTCAAAATTCATTAATTCTTGATCAATGTATGATTTGATTCCGTTTGCAACAGTAACGGAAACACGTGGAATACCACTAGTTTGTAGATTATGAAATTTAATAAAATTCTCAGATATAAAATTATGTGATGCACCACAATCAATTAGTATACGGGCATCATAACCGTTAACATTTCCTTCTAAAAATAACAATTCTGATGTATTGAATTCTTGTGTTGTCAGCATCGACATAATTTCACGAAGTGGATCAATATCATTATCAGCATTATCGGGTATTGTTCTATCATGAACAACATCTTTTTCAATCGAATCAACTTGATTCGATTCAGTAACATCGTGAACATCTGGAAAACTAGAAACAATAGAAGAACTTAAAACATCTAGATGACATGAGGATTCAAAAGAAGATGAAGAGGTAGATGTGTTCCCCACCACATCTACCACTGGTCGTTTTTTTGATTAAATGATGCTATTGTATGTTGTTGTGGTCGTTTTGGACACTTCAACGCACGATGACCTGGTTCCTTACAATAAAAACATAAGCCAAATTTAAAACAATCATCTTTTGTTGCAGTTGAATTAAATGGTGCCATATAACGTTGTTGTTGTCGGGTACTGGTGGCATTCAATTCGACATTAACAGATGCTTCCAGAAATGGATTATATTTACTATTATTATTTTTACTAATAGTCATAACATTGTCATATGTAGTTGCTTCACGTATGGCGTCTTCGACGGTTTGTGGATGTTTTGATCGTACATATAAACTTGTATTGATAGATAAACCATTAACAAACAGCATAACTTGTGTTAACTCGTCCATATCAGTCACTTGACCAACAATACTTCGAAATAAATGAATATAATCTTGAAGTGATTGTTTTTGACGTAATTTCAATAATTGTTGTCGAAGCTGTTCTTGAAAATCAATTGGTTGAAATTGAGATTTCAATTTATTTTTAAATTCGTTCCATGATGATGGTCTTTGATTTTTCAATTTTAAATTCACGAACCATTGTAAAGCTGTACCACCTAACCAACTGACAGCGAGTGAGATTTTATCATCGTCGTTAATTAACCGATTTGCCATAATTTCGTCTAATGTTGTTATCCAAGTAATAACATTTTCTTCGCTGGTTCCATTGTATTCCTTCGGTTTGGTATTGATCTTGTTGACGAATTGTGATGATGTAGCGATCGATGAATCGGTTGTTATTGTTGTTGACGATTGTGGAGGCGATTGTGCTAAAATTAGTGACTGTTGAGCATGTATTTGTTTTCTTTGTTCCTGCATTTCTTCGATGATAACCATGTTCATTTGAATGACTCGTTCCAACAAACTTTCCAAATTGGCACCTTCAGTTGGCATCTTGAATTTGTATGTTCGCTGCTACCAAATGTTAACTTCAGCTAATATTCTGTTTATATTATTTGTTGCTTTTTCAAAACAACACGAAAGAAAAACCGAACTGAACTGTACACGCACTTAGCAACACACTCATTAAGATCTCTTTTTTTCAAAACAGCGCCTTCATTCACTAACAATAGTAATACATGTCCTGCCGTCTTCTATCCAGCAATGAAAATCGCAGATCTTTATTACTTTTTCTTCAAAAGTTATAGGCATTCTCCCCAAGCGATTTTTTTAAAATGGATAATAGATATTGTTTCATGATGTTTGTGAGATACATTTTTGATACATGTGATTGTGTCAACTTGAATCTGAGCTCACTCCGATAGTTCTCTAAAAAATGTTTCACTCATATCACTTATCTCATAAATAAGATTGTATTGACAGAATAAAAAGTATCCACTAACTTAACTAAATTCTATAGCTAATGAAATTTAACAAAATAATCTGACCTTCTCATTTCATTTTGAATTCTTTCTACATGTTTTTTTCCAAGTTCATGAACTTCGTCTGGACTCATATTGGTTGTTGTATGATATTCTAAACATAATTTATAATATTTATCACCATTGGGTAATTTCCAAACACCATGATCTGTTGTAGCATTTGATAAATCCTCATGAAGAATATTTAATAAACGATCATATGCTGGAATAACATTTGTTTTAAGAATTTTTAATAAACGACTGATCAATTCATTTTGTTTTTCTTTCTAAAAATTGAAACAGAAAAAAGATTAATAGGATAAGTTGTTTATTTTTATTCAAATATTTACTGAACAAATTGTATCATTGAGTTTCTCAATAAAAGCAATAATTAAAGGACTAAAAACAAATTGAACTCGAATAAAATATGGTAACAATTGATTTGTTCTACCTTCTATTTGGTTCATCTGTTAGTTGTTTTTGAAATGCTTCAAGACCATCAATAACTCTTTGCAGGACAAATCGAGGTGTTTCAATATTTCTATGACGTCTTTCTATTTGTTGATCTATAAGTTGATCAAATGCCTTTGATATTCTTTGTACCTTTTAGAAAAAGACAAAACAAAATTCATTAAAACAAGTATATCAAAATTTAAAATGATTTACTCGAATAAGATAAGCTTCAGCGTCACTTAATTTCAATATTCGATGAAATTTTGTTATAAATGATATTATATCAAATTGAGGTCCTATCATTTGGTTTATTAAATAATCATGATACTCAAATTCATTACTAAGTTCTCTATTTAAATTCATATTCAAAAAATATCCCATTATATCATATGAATGTCTTTGATCAGATGACATTTTTTTATTTTTAAATGATTGAAGATAAGTTAATTCATTTTGACATTTCTTTTTATCATGTTCATGAAATGATAATGAATAATCATGCAATTGAGTATTAAATAAATCCAAACCACTATTAAAAAAATTAAATCTATTTTTTTTTTGTTATAATGAATACTTACAGTGGTCGAAGTTGAGATAAAAGATCAGGGCTTTCAAGTAAATATTCAAAGAAAACTCTAATAAAAACTTTTTTTCTCAATCGAACAATAAGTTATATATTATTCAGTACCTTGCATACAGTATATGAAGACTTATTGGTTTAAAATAAGCATTTTTTATAATTATCGTTGACCATGAAATCAATATTATTAATGCAAGATAAAAATGAATTAAAAAGAAAAGAACAATTGGTAAACAACATAAAAAGCATGTTAATGCAAATTTTAAATGCTTCCAATACCAAGAATTTGGAATTAGTGACATTGGATAGTTTCTATTTAATTATGGCACATACATTAGTTAGTTATCAATGTATACTCGCAACAGTTATTCGATATGAGTAATAGGTAATAAGATAAAGTATCAAATGAATATTGAAGTTAAATAGATGGCGCCATTGATCAAAGAAAATGGAAAATAGTTAATGCCAACTTTTGATTTAATGTCATTCTTTTTATCAACTATGAAGATTTTCAATAATGATCTACAAGAGTTCTATTTTGATGACACTGAGGACTTTTCGCATCATGAATAAGCGTTTGCAGTAGAGCCAAGTCAAAGTTAGAGGAGGTTCGAGAAAAATCTTCAAATGGTGACGAAAGGGCAAGAAAAATGAGGTATTGGCTCATTTTTACAATGTTTTAGCTTTGTGAATGAACCAGTTAGGACAGTAGAGGATTAACGGGGATGCAACGAAAAGGCGATCTGCGGCCTTCAAGAAAATCTTTCGATTTTTGAAGCAAAAATGAACGAAAACCTGGTTTACATACACTATCTTGGATGAGCTCAAAAGCGGGTTCTGCTTAAAAATATCTCCTTTGCTTGAAAAATCCTACTCAAACAAACCTGAAAAGCCAATGATGGATGCGAGGAAGAATCAAAGTTTCAAAATATTATATTTTTTTCGTTCTGTTTGAATTTCAAGCCCTCGGACACGGTTTTCCATCGCAAACTTATTTTTGATTCCTTGAGCAGATTTGGACCACTCGAGGCTCAATGAGATTGCGACTTCGCGAGAGTGATGGCATAATTCCATTACACCGGGTAACGACTTTTTCTTCCTCCAAACCTGCTGAGTATTCATTTGAGCTTACCAAACGTCTCTCACACATTCGGTGTATTACCCTCAGGGTACTGACTTCGATACACTAACATATAACTATATGTTATAAGTTGAGAAATTTGAGTTGTTTTGTGGTATTACCCTTAGTGTAACGACGTCAATAGTGTAACATATGTAGGGTAATACACCAAAATGAATTCTATGGGTATTATGACGTTGAAATCTCGATACCCAGTGTAATGGTATTATGGCATCTATGAAAGTTGTAGAAGTTGGCTGTCTCTGAATCAAATCAGGAAGAGCTCAAATCAATTCAACAAGGCAAAACAGTCAAGCATAAACAGCCAAATGCATTTGAAAAAAAAAGCTAGAATCAAATGAAAAGAAAATGAATGATGAGACCGAACTATCTATTTCAAATATGGAGTCTTCAATTCTTGTTGATCGTTCTAATAATGATTCATTTGATAATACTGTGTTACTCAAATGTCAATTTCAAATTGATCAATCTGATCATCAAACAAGATTAACAGAGACTGATCTACAGAAAAATAACATTCTTTCTAATGACAATATGGAGTTACATGATGAATTCATTTCACTCCGTCATGTTCAACTTGAGATAAAGAGAAACAGAAAAAAAAGTTATTGATTTAGAAAACCAATTAAAAGACATGAAACACATGTTCATTCTTAAGTCTGTTCTTTTATTAATAAACTTTATAGATTAAAAATATTAGTACTAATTTTAGCAGTTCCGACACCTCAAGAGGATATGGATTCGCGCCGATTGTTAGCCATTGTGCGCATACGTACTGAATTATCGAAAATACGAGCAATTAGTGTCAGTTAATTTTAGTAATTCAACTTTGACATGGTTCATTCATAACTTTTGATTTTTTGTTTATTTAGTGCGGACAGAAATTAGGTCTTACCGATATGGAAACGTTAGAAGTAACTGGTAATGGACGATTACTATGGAAAAAAATTGTGGTCAACTTAGTAAAAGTATGTTTCAAGCATATAGAGTCGCAATACGAAGATTGCACAAAACTTCAAAATCAAAATCAAGATTTGATTGATAGTATCTCAAGTAGATATCATCTGTGAAACTTTTGCTTTCGATATATATTAGTGAAGATAACTGTCATTTGATAACAATGTGTTATTAGTAGGAGAACAAATATTTGAATTATATGAGTTTATATGACAGTTGCTTTTAAGAGATTGTCTTGTATCCATTTTACTGTACATGAAAGCACTTTGTCCTACAGTTATTTTCACCGATACTCACTCAATTCTATGTTTGTAGTTTTGATAAACGTCATCATATGAAAAGTGACAACAAGAAAAAAAGCCCATAAACTTGCTACTGTCACCGTTTAACCAACAGAATAATTACTTTATAAAAGTTACTAATAATGGAAATATTATATTGGTTATTTAGCGAAAAATAAAACAGCGTCAAATAAAAAACAATTAATCAAGCTGCTTGTGTTCTTCCAATTTTTTTCCATGTCTTGGAGTTTTTTTTGATCGTGAGTTATAAAAGTCTTGCGTTTTTGCTTGTTACACTTAAATCGCATCCTCTACAATCGAACTCATTATTGAACTGATTACTGATCCCTACTCGCTTTACGATTTTGGTTTTTCAAAATGAAAATTCATTTACGTGCAGCCAACTTGCAGATAGATAAATTGCTGTCATTTTGTCAAAATTATCGATAACTTTTCCTTCGAATGTTTTAACAGCAATACTCTTATTTGTTTAGAATGTACTTCAACATTGTTGCCTTGTTTATACCCAACTAGTAGCGATTTAGCTGCATCAATTATCATGTTCAAAATTTGAAGACAACAAAACAATGATATTAATGCCTATTCTATGTTTATGAAAGCATTGAACATGCCAGAAGTACCCACCAGAGTTGTACACATGGCAGGATAACCCTGCCCTGCTCTGAACAGGACAGTATAGGGTAAATTCTTTATGCCCTGTATAATGGAAACTCAGAGTTTCTAATTTTCATCCTGAAAATAGTATTCAAATTGGTTCAATATAAATTAAATCAAAAGGGTTTTCAATGAAAAGTTAAATTAACATTCAAAGAAAACAATGAATTAAAAGATCGTTTTGCGAAGTGGATTTGTACAGATATAAGACCATTTCAATAGTTTAAAATTAAGGTTTCGAATTGATACCCATGCATTTTATTGATGAAACGATGAGTGGTTATTATTGTAAAATGAGCTTAAATAAAATAATATTCTATGATTGCAACAAGGAAACGTGTTTTGTTTTTAACTCAATTGGAAATTACAATCAAGATAGTGTGTTAATTCAGCAGGGTACCCTGGCCTAGTAGACCAAGCAGGGCAGAGCTGGGCAGGATGTGAAAAAATCATCCTGTGAACACCTCTGCTGTATAGTCACTCTCTGTGCTGTTGTTCAACATAAGTGTAGGATTATCTCAACAATTGTGATAGTGCTTTGTGTTGAAGGAGCTCAAATTTTCACTTAATTCTTCATAAAAAAAAAACATTTATTTTATCTTTCGTTATACTGTTGAAGGATATCTTTCAAAAAGCATGAACTGAGATCAACCTTTCTAAGCCCAAGAACTCCGTCGGCTATGGGCGCAGATGTTTCAAAAAAAGCCGTGAAGATGGATCATGTAACATTAGGCTGAACACAACCTTCATAAAAATGGGAAAACAACTTTTGTTCCAAGAGTTTTCGCCTGGACATCATAAGTAAGAAATAAGTATATTACAAAGATCGTTGACTTGAATATCATTTATCGAAGATCACCTGTTGTGCAACGAAACGCATCTAAATCCTGTAGAAAAAAAAAACAACAAATAATGCATTTAAATTTCACTTTACTTGAAGAATAGAATCATCCAAATTGCGATTATATGATAAGTGAACCATTCATAAATAATATACTTAAGGTATAGTAAGGCTACATATCAAATGGAGAGATAGTTTTTTCTTTTTTCTTATGCATCAAAACCAAAAATGTACATCATCAAATCAATATTGCTTTATTCAAATAGACTAATGTTTTATTTCGATCTTCTTTTCTTTCTTTTAGTGCATTTTAAAAATAAATTGTTATCAACAAAAAAAACAAAGTAGGATTATCATCCGTTTAGCTTAGTAGTTGTTGTGTGGAAAAAAGAAAATAAATAGTAGTCGAAACATACAAAACTAGAAGGTTGTTTCTTTTTGTTATCTCATTTTATTCATGTATTTCGTTTCCCTCGGTTCTTTTGTATTGGACTTTAAGTCTGTTCAATAGTGGTTTTCAAGTACTCCAGTCTTTGGTGACATGTTACACTTTATTTCATTCAAGATCTAAAAGCTTCTGACACCGTCTTTAGTTTTTGTATTTTTGCCAAATGATTCATGGACATCTGACTGATCTTTTTTCTGCAGGCATGGCTTAAAATATTTGATAGGGAAGTGTTTCATGTGATATTCTCAAGACATGTCCTAGTCATTTTAATTGAGACCGTTCAATATAAAGAAGTAGAGAGTCTATTCGAAAAGATTCTCAAACGGGCGAATTACAAACTATGTAATGAAGTGTCCGGTCAGTGCCGGGTGGTAAAATTCTCACAAAAAGAATTTAAGAATTCTATATTCTAAATGCGTTTATCACTATGTACATTCACATTCTGTTCCAATTTATATAATTCTTATAATACTGTAATAAAACAACAATAATTCTATAACGAATACTGCTTAATACAGCATAATTGCATCAGAATTCTTATTTCCTAGCAGAACTATCATTCATGCCATATACCTACTTTTACATTCAAATCGAATTCCAGCTTAGAATTTTGTTTTTCCAGCAGAATTTCGTGATAATTCCAATTTCATAGCAGAGTTGCATTTCATTCTATATAACGATTATTCTTATTAAATGATTGAGTTTCACTGATCTTAAAACACAGTTTATTCAAATAAAAAATAATAAATATGACTTAAATTTTTAGTTTTACTTGAAAATGATGACCTGGAACAGCTTCATGATAAGCTAATATGCTCATTTTAAATTTAGCTAATTCATTGATATTGCGAAGATTTATTTAAAAACTTTTTTTTCTGGTGTTTTACCATAAAATGTTGCCGGAAAATAATGAACCGCTACTGCTGTAGCTTCTTTTAATTGAGGCATACGTTCAACAATACATTTTGTTGCTGGTCGACATACAGATAAGAAATATTTATCGATTTCATTATCAATATTTTCACATGATTTGACGATAATCATTAAGAATTTTTGTTCACTATCATTTTCGAAATTAGTGATACTTGTTTGAAAATCATGCCAACTTTCAACTTGTTTCTCGTTCAAAATACTATTTAAAAAAATCTAATATAAACACGGTTGGCTATAAATATCTTTGCAATAAAAAGTTAAATTATTTTCAATCTACTCGAAGGTATTGATCTGATTTTTTTGTCAATAATAGAGAAATGTTCAAAACTCTTTTGGTTCATTAAAAAATCATTAATGAACACTTCTTTCAATTGTCACCATTCACTTCAATGCGTATTATCACCTTTCATGGATCTAGTGCAGATCTTGTCTTCATTCCATCTCAAGCACGATTCCATAGGAGCAAGTGTCATAGACTCACTTAAAATGATGCCCATTAGTATCAATGCATCGTTCAAGTTCTTTAAGGTGTAGGTATCAGAAAATAACAGACGCACATCCAGTTCAGTATTACAAAAGTGAACATGTGGTGCTATTGAAGTAGAAGAAAAGTTACCTTTAAATCATACAACGAAAGAGACAATCAAGTATATTTTTCGAAAAAGGAGTACATGTACAAATGAATCTATTGTTATTATTTTATATCATTATAAAATGTAACACTAACGTATTGAAGTTAAAGTGGACAATTGATATTAGTGTTGATTAAAGCGTTTCCTATGAAAAAGAAATTTTTGAACACTCTCCTCAATCATTAATTAAAAGAATCAGCCCAATATGTTCGAACAGAGTCCACTCAATGGAAGTTTTGCATCGTTAAGATGTGTATGGGCCACCCACTATAGTTGTTTAAATTTCCAATTTGTTTTCTTTTCTAACAAAAGACTTCTTTCTTTTTTCATTTTAGTAAGCTGTTAAATTAAATTATCTTTTTCATTTAAATGTTTCTCTACTTTCCGTCCTCAGAGAAAAATGTCCCAATACTTCGTCCTTGAAAAAATATTCTTCAGAGTAAATCCTGAGAAATAAATCTCGTGCCACTCTAAGCTCTTTCGGATTTCACTAGAAGTTTCTTCGTCAATGTATTTTCAATGCATAGTTCCCACTTCTTGTAATCTTACTAGCCGTCATCAATGTTTCTTTTTTGTTCTTCTTAGATGTTGATTTATGTATATTTTGATTTCTTTGTTTTCTATATTCCTTGTCACACTCGTTTTTTACTTTTATTTATCTGTTTCTCATCAGTTAACATATTTCACACTTCTTTCACCGTTATCCTTGTAGTTGCTGTATTCAGTCACTCTATTTTTTACCTTATTCACGTTTATTTTGTTCGGTAAACTGCTGGGTCTTCATCCACCTACAAGTCATTATCTACCATTTTATTGTGGCATCTTCCATTGAACTTTACTCCGATAGTTCTCTGAAAAATGTTCCACTAATATCAATTATCTCACATATAAGATGGTATTAACGGAATAAAAAGTATCCACTGCCTTAACGAAATTCTATAGCTTCTGAAATGTGACAAAAAAAAATCATATATTCTCATTTCATTTTGAATTCTTTCTACATGTTTTTTTCCACGTTCATAAACTTCGTCTGGACTCATATTGGTTGTTGTATGATATTCTAAACATAATTTATAATATTTATCACCATTGGGTAATTTCCAAACACCATGATCTGTTGTAGCATTAGATAAATCTTGAGGAAGAATATTTAATAAACGATCATATGCTGGAATAACATTTGTTTGAAGAATTTTTAATAAACGACTGATCAATTCATTTTTTTTTCTTTCTCAAATCTGAAACAAAAGAACAAAATTGTCTCTGATTTGATGAGATTTTTTTTATTTTTAAATGCTTAAAAATAAGTTAATTATTATTGACATTTCCTTTTTTCATGTTCATGAAATGATCATGAATAATCATGCAATTGAGTATTAAATAAATCCAAATCACTATTAGAGAAATAATATATATTCTTTTTCATTATAATGAATACTAACAGTGCTCGAAGTTAAGATAAAAAGTCTAGACTTTCAAGTATATTTTCATAGAAAAATCTAAGAAAACGTTTTTTTCTCAATCGAACAATGAGTCATATGTTATTAAGTATCTTGAATAAAGTATGTCAAGACTTATTGGATTAAAATAAGTATTTTTTATAATTATTGTTGACCATGAAATCAATATTATTAATGCAAGATAAACATCAATAAAAAAGGAAAGAACAATTGGCAAACAACATAAAAAGCATGTTAATGCAAATTTTAAATGTTTCGAATACCAAGAATTTGAAATTAGTAACCTGATGTTTTCTATTTAATCAACATAGAATTGTTATCAAAGTGTTGTCGCAAGAATTGTTTAATATGAGTAATTGATAAGAAAAGGCATCAAATGAATATTGAAGTTAAATAGATGGCGTCATTGAGCAAACAAAACTTGAAAATAGTTTGTCATCTTTAGCCAAGGTATCATTTTTTATCTATCCTTCCTTTTTGTTTCTTTCAAATAAGACAAATGCGCTTCGAATTATTTGTCAAGCAACATACCTAAGGTAGGGTAAGGCGACGGCTTCATATGAAGAGATAGTTTTTTTTTCTTTTTTTTATGCATGAAACCAAACACTTTCAGCATAAAATCGATATTGTTTTATCTAAACATACGAATATTTTATTTCGATCTTCTTTCTTTGTTTTTAGTGCATTTAAAAAAAAACATTATGAGCAAAAAAAGAAGCAAATTAGAATTAGCATCAGTCTAGCTAAGTAGATGTTGTGTCGAAAGACGAATGTAAATAGTAATCGAAACATAAAAAGCATAGAAGGTTGTTTCTTTTTCTTTTTTTATCTCGTTGTATTCATTTATTTTCTTTGCTCTGATTCTTTGCGATCAAAGTTTTGGCCTATTCAGTAGTAATTTTCAAGTGCTTCGATCTTTTGTAGCATATTGAACTTTATTGCATTCAAGCTCTAAATGCTTCTGACAGAATTTTTTTATGTATTTTCTTCAACTGGTTCGTGCACATCTGACTGACTTTTCCTGCACGACTTGAAATATTAGATGAGGAAGTATTGCATGAAATTCTCAAGACATACACCAGCCATTCTAGTTTTGATCGTTTGATATGAGAAGATAGAGGCTCTATTTGAAAAGATTCTTGTACTGCCGGACTTCAAAGTATATTTTAGAGAGTTCAACCAGATGCTCTCTGCAAGAATCCTGTTCCAGCCTCTTGTATTCGAGATCGAATTTTCCAAGTCATTACCCATTGTTCGTAGTCATGAATTAGAATAGTTTGATATAACGATTTGAAGATTAAGAGCTTTATCTTGCGATTTAACTCTGCGTTTGCTAGAGCTGTGAGGTAGAAGGAACGTAAAACGCAATTGAGCGCACCAATTCATCAATCAATTTCGGCGTCATCTTAATATACAGCTGAGGTTGTCTTGAAAGAACCATTACTTCGGTTTTCTTCACATTAATCTTCATATCAGAAGAGAACTAGTTTGTCCCACAATGAGTAAGAACCTTTGGAAGCCCATCAGTCGTTACTTCTAAACGAGTAAAACCATTCGCAAAAAAGAAGCGCATCTACTTTGACACCTTCGATTTCGAGATATGTTGTACTTGAAAATTAGAAACAGTAGCGGCGGTAATACTCATTCTTGCCATAATCCAATGCGCAGCCAAAGCCAATCCGACTTTTTACCATTTATGTGAATACAACTTTGCCATCATTGTGAAAACATTCAATCACAGCGAGAGATGACTATTAATTGTATATTCTCGGAACACGTTTTAGAGTAAGTCTTGTGAAACTCGATCACACCCCTTCTCTAAGTCTATGAATAATACATAAAGGAGTTTAGCAAATTTGCAAGATTTTCTAAATTTTTGATGCAACGTACAAATTTGGTCAGTTGTCCATCTTTCCGTGCGACATGCTCATTGTATGCCGTGAATATATAGTTCATTTAGAACAGTTCTTTTGAGTTCTTTTTTTTTTAAATGTGGACAATGATCCCATTCTGCGAGTCCACTGAGGTTTTGCCACTTCTCCACAACACACAATAAATGCGAGTGACCCAACATTTGCCAACAGAACTCAGCGATTTTCGCATTGCTTGTCTTAGCTCATTCCCTCGAGCAACTTTTTCGAATTGGAGTGATTTAATCGGTGTTACAATTTTTCTCAAAAAGATGTCATCGATCCTATCCAGTAATGATTCATCCAAAGTACCTTGTGAACCAGATTGATGGGTTATAGAGTTCTGCAAAATGTTTCTTCCATCTGTTGAGAATGTCTCCTTCATGAATCAAGAGTCAACCAGCAGCATCTTTTATTGAATGATTGTGTGTAGATTCACTCTTACAAAGTCGGTGAATGATCTATCAAAATACTTTGTTAGCCGAATGATAGTTATATTCCAGATAGCGCTCGAAGCTATCCTAGGAGCTTCTTTTCGCTTCACTCACAAGTTTCTCCACGTTGTTCCGCAATTGCTAATATCGATGTCAATTCTTTGCTATTTATCGTGGAGTCTGTATAGGGTATGTCACTTTCTTGTCACCAATAGCCATGCAAACTTTTCCCATTCAAATGAAATTTTCTTTTGGCCTTATTACAGTCCGATACATTTGGTTCCACATGTTTCTGTCATGGGACCTAGCATTGATACACGAAACAAGAGTCACTGGGATTCAATATCAGCTACCTTCGGTAGTATCTCAGAGAATCGTTGATCAAACTTTTTCACAAAACTGTGGTGGATCTCTTCGAAAGTCAAAGTTTCCCATCGTATTATGATGAGTGTCTTGGCTTTTTCCCCCCGGTATTGAATAGATGAAAATAGCCGCAAAGCACAAACCATCGTATCATGCTAGGTCCCCAGCTTGGAACCTTGTTTTTTCAGCACCAGCATATTCAGCAAGATTCTTCATAAGTTCTCGGATACCTGAACCATGTCAATTAATGATTGTTGAGCCATATGATTTCCTATTATATGTCCTGTCTACTTCTGAATTTTCTTGTTTTGCGAAAAAGTGTTCATTATCAATAGATTGCCACTTGTATACAAATACCCAGTAGTTTTTTGCCTTGTGTTTTGAATTCTTTATCAACACTTCGTCCAATCATACCGTTCTTTATTTCGTGAGTTCCTGTTAACGTATGCATTGAATTCTTTGATCAGTTCTATAGAGGGTATTACACAAGTTTTTTCCATGACACCGAAGATTTCATCAAGAAATGCCTCGCATTCTGATTCTTTGTGAAGCGTACACACCTGTATTAGTGGTAGAGTTTTTTTCATTATCTGTAACATTTTAACAGTGACTCCTTCATCGATTAGTTTTTATTCGAGAAGTGCATTGGCAAGTCGAGAACTTAAGAGTTATTGCCATTCCCGCTTGAGTACGCATCAATGGATCAATACCAGAATAGAATAACTTTCATACATTTAGAAAGCAGCATTGTTCATCATTCGAAAGCGATATGTCTGGAAGTAAAACTTTACGAAATTATATTGACTACAAAATAGTCAGGCTGATCAGTTTTAGTGCAGATTTTGACTAAAATTTTACGAAAAAAATGTCTCGTTTAACAATAAGTGCCAATTTAATTAATATATGGCGAAGATAGTTGTATGTCGATCGATGAAAGACTGATCCTTCTATCTGTTTCTATTTAAAAGATAGAAGCGCTTTGTTGAGAGACTCGAAACGAACCAACTAACAACTGATTGCTCTATATTGTACTGAATTTTGAATGTTTGACTAAGCTGAGTCGAACGGTGCTGTTATCATTAAGTTTCAATATGCTTGTAAGTTGCTAGATAATAACTTTGTAATTCAGTCTATAAAAATCTTTTAACATTAGAAAGAATATTTTCTAGATCTTGTCGATTCAACATTGATTCGGTTCAAAACTCAAAATCAATACTGTCATTTGATTCAGTTTAGTCAATTCTCCGGAACTCAGAATAATTTAGACTGATTAGTGGTTAGTTGGCTCATTTCAAGACTTATAATAAAACACATCTAAGTTTTGATAGAAACGATTAGAACGGCTAGCCTTCCGTAGATCGGCATACCAATGTCTTCGATATTTATTGATTAACTAAGCACTCATTGTTAACCCAGAAATTTTTGTCGTAAAATTTTGCTCAAAATCTACATCAAAATCTGACCAACTTGACTATTTCATAGCTAAGATAAACTCTTAAGCTTTTACTTTCCAGACATATATACATCGAATAGTGAAAATTATCGATGTCTAACCTCCTTCGTTCTCGAGATATACAAAAAATATTCGAGCTCACTATGTTTTAGCCCAAAGTGTAATAATTTAAACTATCAAATAAATAGAAATATAATTATTGATACAAATAAATAAAATCTTGATGTCACAATCCGACACAACTCGGCAGAAATTAATTGAAGCCGATTATGAACCAGTTAGTTCATCACGTAAACTTAATTTATTACTACAACGTTCAGTTCGTTATTCATATCGACAAAGATGTTGTAAATGTTGTCCAACAATACTTTGTGAACTTCTGTTTCCAATTACCATAATACTATTATTAACCTTAACTCGATATGGACTCAATCGACTAGCCGAAAAGCAAAATGATGATGGAAGTTTACCTGGATCTTTCAGCAAACGTCCATGTTCACAAGATATCAATACTCCACCAACTTCATCAAATAATATATTTACTAATTGTTTTAAATTTCCACCAAGTTATAACGGTGGTCGTTGGAGTTCACATAGTCTAGATGATGTATCCAATAAAACTAATATTGTTTTCGAACCGAACCGAACTGATGTTAACGAACTTGTCAAACGTGGTGCAATACGTCTAGCTGCAATGAAATGTAATAATACAAACATTTGGTAAGTTTATGTGAATATAATTATGAAAAAAAGAATTTACAGATAATATTATTTTCTATATATACATATATATATATTAAAAAGGAGTCAAAACCCAAATGATGAAACTGATACACATTTATTGCAAAATAAAACTGTAAATACAGTTATAGTGGATTTCAGTGCAACATCTGATCTAAGAAAAGAACACAATCTTGTCTGTAAGTTGATTTATCTATGACAAGCTTATAAATTATGATTGACTCATTACACTATACTGTATGTATATAACAAGCAGTTGAACAGAAGCTAAAACTTCAAATAAAAACAAATCGAATATAAAATAGAATGCTAAGATGCATATTTAAATAAGAGTTTTCAAAAATGTATTCTTTCCTTTCAAACGAACAAAACAACTACTAAAATGCCTAAAAAATATATTCCTAGCATTAATGCAATAGAGTTCATGCTGAGCGAACTACGGGAATAGGTTATGCAAGCACTGTTTATGAGATTGACATGGTTAAATTTGAGCACAATCATTTCACTACGGAAATGCACAATAGGTCATAAATGACTTATTCCGTCTTGAATGGCATAAAAATTGCAGTTATTGTTAAATTTATTTTTTCTTGCTATTTTTCGCAGTTATGTTGCTGTTTTGTTGATATAATGCTGGAAATGTAGCTATCATGAATTTTGATTTGAAAAATGACCCATTTTAGGAAATTATATATTGTTAGACATTCGTAAAGATAGCTATCTTCGAATTGGAATCAGGTCGTCCGTTTCCAGAACTGTATCAGGATCGTTAATCTTCATTTCTTCTTATAATATGGAATCATTGGAACTAATTCCGATTAGAACTCTGCCCTCTTTCATTTTTAAGTTCGCGCCCAAACAGTCAGCCGTAATAAAAGTTGAAAGTCTCTCTCTTTTATCGATAAAAAGTTATTTTAAAATGACCGTAGAATGGTATTTGAATGACTAATATTTTCAATAGTTTTTAGCATGAAAATCGTGTTATCTATGAGTTTAAACCCACAATAAATGACTTCATGTTACTCGCTACAAAGATGGCAAAAAATAACCGAAATCATCATGAAAAAATGCTTTTCTCACATCTGTAGTGAAGAAGTTTTTAGCAATTACTCTGCAAATAGATTATACTTGCAGTAGTGTATAACAGCCTCGCTAACATCAAAATAATCAATCTGTGTATCTAAATAAGAGAAAAAGGATCGTTTCATTTGTTTTAAAAAGCAACGTCTTTCCAACTCGTAAATCTGAGCCAAGACATTATGAAAAAGAATTTAAGTTTTTACCAATTTGTAACCTATTCGGAGGCTCTACAAACTATTCTGAAATTGTCTCGATCCAATGTTTTATTAGTTCATATGGATATTTTGTTATGAATGAGCTAACAATGACCCAACACGCCATAAAGAATTAAAAGAAACCTTAGACATTCAATAGTAAATTTTCAACTATCCAGTGATATTAATCACATGATTATTTTTTGTTGTCTATTTTTAGACAACATTATTGTTCGAACACCAAATATTATTTTGAAAAATGATCCTATCGATATGTCATTCATATCATATAAACATCCAGGTACATTAACAAATCATTTTTTCTTTTCTGAAAAACATCATTTCAAATGATTAGGTTATGTTTCGGATCGTTCGAATGCCACAGATAATAATGGTATGAATGGATCAGAATTACCAGAATTTACTGATATAAAAATGTTTGTTGATTCATTACTTATGGAATTTCAAACAAATCGTCAAGTTCAATTTGAACTTGAACGAAATCTTATGACTTGTACACCATTTCGAAATGATTTTCTTTTTAGTAAGAGTATAGAAACAAAAGCTACCCATTAAAATGCAATTTATTATTTTATTTTTAGCATCAGAATCAAATTTTATTAACACAATTATATTAATGATTGATGCTGTATTCATTGTTCCGTAAGCAAAAAATAACAGAGATTCTAATCAAATATATCTATTTGAATTGTTATTCATAGATATTTAATTCTTTTAATAAGTTTAATTCGAGAAAAAAATGCAAAAGTAAAAGAAATTCTTAAAGTACTTGGTATTGAACCTATTCTTAATAATATTGCACAAGGAATTCGGTAAACAAATAATGATTTTAAAAAATCCTACGTTTTTCTTCAAAACAAGTGTATGTTGTTTATTTTTAGAACAATGGTTATTCTTTTGATTTTAATTCTATTTTTATCTATTGTGTTTAAAATAAAATTAAAGCCTGATGCTTATTTCAATACAGTTAATTTTGCTACTCTGTTTTTTGGTAATATTATATATGGTTTACAATTAATATCATTTTGTATTATGAATGCACAATTATTTGATACTAATGTTCGTGCTGTTATATTTACATTTGTTTTTTATTATATTGTCTTTAGTATCTCTTCATTTACTGTTTCATGGCCACCAGGGATACAGTATGTACTAATGTTTTTTTGTCCTTATATTGCTGGACATTCAATTTTTCAAGTAAGAACTATTCATCCATATAGTATTTTCCATGAGCTTTTTATTTATTTCTTTTAATAGCAAGCTGTATTATATGACCTAGCAAAGAAAGATGTAGCAGTATTTCGAACTATTTATCGTTATGTACCAATGTATTTTCCGACATTGATTGTTATGCTTCTTAGTTGTATTTTTTATTGGGCATTGTCATGGTATTTGGAAAAAGTCTTTCCAGGTAAATAAATAAAACATTTGTCAGTTCGGTCTCATGAGGAGTCAAAATGTAGAACTCGTAAATTCTAACTATTATAAATTTATGTTATATTATCAGACGTGTTAAAATAATTTCTTTCAAAAAAATGTCGAATATATAAATCAATTGAACTTATAATAATTTTCATAGGTTGGTACGCAGGTTCTGAAATTTTATTATATCGACAATGTTTATATTTAGAATTACTATGCTACTAATTTATTAAATTCATTTAACATCATTATATAAAAAATAAATAAGTTATTTATATTATCAGATAAATTTTCAATAGAAAACTTCCTTTCCCATAATAACAATATACGCGATACATGTCACAGACAGCAGCTAATATCATTTTGGTTTTTCTTTTCGTCGGTTCAAACACCTCAGTAGCCTACTATACATTTTGATTTGATCGTCCAGTAATATTTCGAGCACATCATCTTTTCAATCGACGGAGTTTGCCATATAGTGTTGAGCGTTGCCTAAAATTAGGATTCAATTGATTCACACTTTTCTATATTCGTTCTATTCTAACTGTAATATATTAATGATATTACCGCCCTACTTATTGACACCTACACTATCCTGTTGCTGCAGTCTTGCGAGAGGGGAACCCACAGAAACTCTCGATTTAAACTTATAGTCAATATTTTCATTGAAAATATAGGTGAGTTGCACAAAAATATAAACGATTAAGAACAAACAATTTTGTCAAATCAGAAAAATAATCTTCTGATGGCATGAGTAAATCTAATAACAACAAAATTGTTTATGCATAACTCTCATTTCTATTCCATCGACTAAAAAGAGTTATTCTTTGTTTTATTGTAAATTTTAGGTCAATATGGTATTCCACTTGATTGGAATTTCTTGTTCAAAAAAGATTATTGGCGTAGAGAAACTACTAAAAATCAGATATATGCATTTGATAATCATGCAGCTACACTTTCAAGACCCGTTGCATCCCTTGCACGAACGAATTCAATAGGAGCACCTGTTGTTCATGTTGATCGACTTGTTAAAAAATTTGGTCCAGATAAAATAGCAGTCAATGAAGTTTCATTTGATTTATATGAAAATCAAATAACATCATTACTTGGGCCAAATGGTTCTGGTAAAACAACTATATTTAATTGTTTAATTGGAATATATAAACAAACATCAGGTACAATTATAATGGAAAATGAAAATGGTATTAATTATGATACAAGAAATAATATTGAAATATTAAGAAAATCAATGGGTTATTGTCCACAACATGATATTCTTTTTGATTTATTAACTATTGAAGAACAAATACAATTTTATGCTTCTGCTAGAGGATTTGGAAAAAATAAACAACAAATATCAAATGAAATGCTTCATTTAGTTAATCTTGAAAATTCAAAACATGTTTATTGTAATTCATTATCTGGTGGAATGAAAAGACGTCTTTCATTAGCTTGTGCTTTTGTTGGAAATACTAAAATTGTTTTACTTGATGAAGTAATTTATTTTTTATCTTATTTTTAAGAAAAACTATAAAAAAAACAAATTTCTTTTTAGCCATCAAGTGGACTTGATCCATCAAATCGTCGTTTATTATGGGATTGGTTACGTAAAATGAAAGAAGGAAAAACACTTTTATTAACAACACATTTTATGGAAGAAAGTGATGCTTTATCTGATCGTATTATAATTATTTCAAATGGTGTTATTAAAGCAGATGGAACATCAGCAAAATTAAAAGAACAATATGGATCTGGTAAGATTTTCTATGTTAATTATTTTTGTTTCTTAATAAATTATAATTTTTTAAGGTTATAAATTAATTATTAATAAACAAAATAATTATGGTACAAATGAAATAGAAAATGAGTTACGTAATTATTTACCTAAATTAACTATTGAAAGTGATATTCCAAATGGTGATGTTGTTTTTCGTACAAATGAACAACCAGATAATCAATTTGTTCAAGCATTACGTCAACTTGAACTAATGAAAGTACAAAATCGTGTAAAAAATTATGGTGTACAAAATAGTACAATGGATGATGTTTTTTTTAAAATTACAAAAGAGACAAAAGATGAAAATGATTCTGGAAAAACGTCAGTTAATATTGAACACATAGGTTTGTAATAACTTCGCTGCTTTTCAATTTGGAGACTATTTTGCAAAGTAGGATATGTGTGTATGAGGAGATTGCAAAATTATTATACTTGTTTTTGAGAAAAAAAAACCAGCGAAAAAGAAAATTTTTGTATTCGCATATAATCAGTAACACACTTGATGTTACTATATGAGACAAAAAAAATGAATAAATTTTCCAGGCTACTACTATTAGTACATGGCAATCTTATGAGACATTTACAAAATTCGTTAAAAATAGTTGAAATTATAGGTAGAAACAACACTGTTTACATGTCACGATATACGGTTGAGATGCAAAGTTCAATAAATCTTGATTACATTAAATAAAAAGTGGGAGTAATTTTGATAGCGTTTAGGATAAGAATTTAATTAATATAGAATATATTTATATTATTTTCATTGCAAAGTAATACGGATGAATCGATAAACTAAACAAAGTTTCATCTCAAATTGTAGTTATTGCACCAAGGAGAATGAAAAATACCGTGGGTTATGTAGCACGTCAAACAAATTTCATTGCATAGTTTATTTACCACTAAGTGGGTAAAATGATATGTCAATATTACAAAAAGTTTGCTTTTGCTGAATGCAAGAAACCCTATTACAATTATTTTACATTTTGTGGAACTCACATAGTTTTTTACGAATGTTTAACTTTATATCCGCTCCTTTTATACTTCGCCTATCATTTTACATTATAGACACTCGTCCTTAATAGCACTTATTTTGTTGTTTGACATAATTCGCATTCAGATTCAACCTGTACTCTTCTCATAAAACTTTATTGTATATCAATCAGATGTTCTAACAATGAATGATTCCAGCACCATACACGACCAACAGGAGTAATACATTTGAAGAAGTTCATAGAAACTAGTCTACTAACATTCTAAAATGACTTATTCTCAAGAATAATAGATTCATCTAATAAATTTATGATTTCAATTTTCAGTTTGTAGAAAACGTAATTTGACTTTTTTCTCATCGAATTAGAATATTTTGTTATTTTAGTTTCATTTTGTTCATCAAGTAAAGAAATCTTATCATCTACGCCAATGTACTTGTGTATATCACGGACATTGTCAGTATAAAGAAACTTTATATATCAAACCTTTATAGCAATACAAACAGTTGTTTTCTCAAAAATAATCCTATTCAATTGTTAACTTTATGATAATTAGCTTCAGGATATCTTCTAAATAATTCAGAATCCTAATAAAACAAAAGATCTTTTGTTTGTCTTTCTTCTTAGATGAACAATGTCGTGATATTTTCGATGAACGAGAATTTTTTCATGGTTGGCGTTATTATTTAAGTCAACTTCATGGTTTAATCATTAAAACAATACTTGTACGTTATCGTCGTTGGGGATTGACACTTTTTGTTTTATTATTACCTATACTTTACAATCTTTTATCAAATATAATATCTCGAAGTCAAAATGTAAATGGTACTTTTAAAATGAAAGTAAATTTACTTAATCCACAAACAGTTCTTTATAAAGTTGATCCGCTTATGGAAAATTATTTTCAAGCAGCTATTGGGCCAAAATCAAATGGATTAGTACTCGAACAAAGATCAGAAAATATTTCTGCAATGAATAAATATATATGGCGTAAGTTTAAACTTTATAAGAAAAAAAAATCATTAAATATTTCATTCTAGAAAAACGCATGGATCATCCGTACACTTATACTGATATTTATCTGGGTTTTCAAGTACTTGTACCACAAGGAAATACTTACAAAATACAAACTTTATCATCAAATTTAATATCAGGTTATGAAATTGTTTCAGTTGCATCGAATATATTTTTTAAATATGCATTAAATGATACTGGTGCATCAATTGAAACAACATTAATTTATAAAAAAACAGGAAATTTGACAATAGAACCAACAATTGGTAGTTTATTGAATGTATTAAGTATAGCATCATGTTATCTTAAGGTTTTACCAGCTTCACTTATATTAGATGTGTAAGTAATTTTCAATGAAAAGAAAATAAACATTTCATTCATCCTTTTTTTTTTTTGTTTATTTAGATTCGTTTTTTATGTGATATTTCTCTATACAACAATATTTCTAGTTAGTGAGCATAAAGACAGCTTCCTATCATTATTGAATATCAGTGGCTTACAGTAAGTTTATTCTTTTCGAAATAATTTCATAATTGAATTCAGTAGACTACTTTTTAATAAATAGTATCAATATATATTTCTTTTTTTTTGAAAGATAGGGAAGCTTTTCTCATGCTCAAAAGATTCTCTAATGATATTCCTTAATACGTTTTATCGAAGAATGTTTCATGAAAACTGAATTGGCGATACTTTTGCCAGTATTATCATCGATATACACTTGCCTTATCAGAAAAACAATTCCAACTTCATATCTAGATTAATAAATCTATAATTATATAGCACTTAACAGGATAGAGAAGGAGTGTGTTAGGATAGTTCCTATAGGTTCAAAATGTGAAACACGATAAACTTGTCTAAATTCATTATATTGAACTGATATTTCAGTTGCATACGTACGACATTAAAACTTGATCGCAACCACTAACCTACCCTTCATCAGTTCGCATCTATTGGAGTTACGATTCATACATCACCTTATATGAACTATATTGACATAACTATTTGCGTAAAGGCCACTCATCCGACAGTCCAATATTGTAAGTATCTCTAGTTCAAGTTTTGTAAGAAATTACTTCAAAAATAACTGAGATGTTGTTTTCTCATTACAAATGTCTGATTAAATGTAAAGATTCGTTTTTAGTAAGAGCTGCAGAACTGAATAAATTCAGGTCCACAGCCCCGGATAGATTTGAATAGTGCTAAATTCTACTTCCATACTTCAATATTCTTTTTTAATCATGCTTCATAAACTATCTTGAATAATTAGCTTGAAAAACAATATTTGATATTTTGTTCATTCAAGTTTTTCTTTAACATATTAATTCATTTTATATTTCACTTTAAAAAAATAAAAACTAAATCATTCATATGAATTTGAAATTTTAGTCCAGTATTTTATTGGCTTTTTAATTATCTATTTGATATTCTTACTTCTATTATTTGGTTTTGTTATTTACTTACTATGTATTGTATATTTGATGTTGCCTTTAATGGTTCACCAAATAGTCGAACTTCATCAACAAGTATAATACCAATTGAATTTGCTACTTCATGGGATTTACGAGTACAATTTTATCCATTAACAATAATTATTATATTACCAACATTACCATTTGCATATCTTCTGACAAAAATTTTCAAAAGTGATCTTCTTGTATGTACATATTGTTTTCTTTATTGATTATAATTTTGTTTTTTTTTTGTTTTGAATTATTTTATATAGTGCGGATTATCAGTATTATTTATATTAATTATTTTACATTTAGTCAGTATTATTGTACCAGTAGTTATGTCATTAGTTAATAATACATTCGTTCAAAAATTGATGTATTGGTTATTTAATATTATTTCACCAAGTATAAATGCACAGGCTATAGTCACGTATATATTAGCACAGCAAAGTAAATTTTGTCAAGTATTTATTAATACTGATTTTACATTTTTTACACCAATTGGAAATGATACAATGGGATGGAATTGGGTAGTTCTTATTTTACATATTATTATTTTATTATTAGTATTAATTGCTATAGATAGTGGATTATTAAAATTTTCATTTTCATTTTCATTTCTAACACGTCCTTTACAATTTGATGAAAATATCCTTGATAATGATGTTCTAGCAGAACGTCACCGAATTTTAAGTCTAAACTATTCAACAACAAATAAAAGTCTTTTAAATACAGATAATAATGAAGAAGAACACGTAACTGATCATTTAACAGTGCATGATCTTGTTAAGCGCTTTCCAGGACGTAATACTTGTGCTGTTAATCATTTAACATTTGGTGCTAAACGTGGTGAAGCATTTGGTTTACTTGGTTATAATGTAAGTTATACAAAAAAAAATGTGTTTCTTTTTTTTCTTTTGGAAAATTTAAAAATTTAAATTATTTACATAGGGTGCAGGTAAAACAACAACATTTCGCATACTTGTTGGTGATGAATTAGCAACACAAGGCACTGCTTATATTGATGGACAAAATGTTCGTCGTCGCTTAACATCAATGCGTCAATTAGGTTATTGTCCTCAACAAAATTGTAGTATGGACTTTTTAACTGTTCGAGATGGTTTATATTTGTTAGCACGTATACGTGGTGTAACTTTTTCACGTATACATTCTGTTGTTCAAACAATTAGTTCATTATTTTTACTTGATCCATTTCTTAATAATTATATTCATCAATTAAGTGGAGGAACTAAACGACGATTACATGCTGCACTCGCATTAATTGGTAAAGAAAAATAGAATAAATCCTGTTTTACTATTAGATATACAGTAAGATGCAAAAGTTCTTGCTCTGTCGTTAGTCAATTTTCTAGAAGTTTTCGGAGAGACTTTCGAAGAGTTTCTAGTAAGCGAGAAAAACTTTATTTATAATTGTGAATATTATAAATCATCATAAACATACTTCAGTTGGAAGAAAAAATCTAGACAACGAAATACCGCTTCGCTGAAAACGAAGTGATTAACTATGTTACACTACTGGAACAACGGCTATCGATCTCCTTCTACAATGCCTCGTCTGACAAAGATTCTTGTTGGGACAGTCAAATATAATATACCCAGTATACAAGAAGAAGTTGCAATTGAAGACAGAAACTGTTTCAGGATTGTGATCGAGATGTTTCCTGATGAACAGCAGAACGCCGACTGAAACAAATGCTTATTAAGTTCAAATACCTCAAAATTACCTCATTCTCAATGTTAGATAGCAATTCGGTAAACGCTGGCGAGTGTAATAAGATGATGATTACAAGCTCAGAAGTCGAGTAACGAAACGATTTCAACACAAAGAACTGCCCGAAATGATCAACTGACTATCAAATAGTCCCAATGTTAATCCAGTACGGAATCTCAAGTTGAACATAAAATATTGTGTCTAGAAGTGAAAACCATGAAATTCCGATGAACTTGACAGATTTCTGAACGAAGAATGGAACGAAATCAACTCGGTCACACTAAATCATTTGATCAAATCGTTGAACGCGCGATGTTTAGCTTTGACAGAAATGAAGGGAGAGATGATTAACTATTAATTGTGATACTTTTGTGCACTGTATGATGCTTTATCTGTGTATGTATTCATTTGTCATATTCATCATGTTCATCTGGAGAAATACTTGAAATGCTGCGGACAAAAACTCTGTCATCTCACTATATTTGGATTATTTTTAGGACCTCCACTAGTTATAATTCTTGATGAACCAACAACTGGTGTTGATCCAAATGCTCGACAACAAATGCAAGAAATATTTCTTAATGCTGTTAAAGCAAAATTAACAATTATATTAACGAGTCATTCAATGGATGAATGGTAAAACATAAAAATTTATTTGAATAATTATTTTTTTTATTTATTTATATTATTTTATAGTGAACGTATATGTAATCGTCTTGGTATTATGTTTAATGGTCAATTAGCTTGTTTGGGTACAATTCAACATTTAAAATCAAAATTTGGTCAAGGTTATACAATTGAAATTAAAGTTCGTTCAACACCTAATGATGCAAGTGAAACAAATATTCAAAATGTTCAATCATTTTTATTATCACAAACCCAATTAAATGTAGAAATTAGAGAAATAACATATTCAACAGGATCATTTCAAGTTAAACAAGGTACACCAGCTGATTTATTTGAATTACTTGAACAAAATAAACAACAATTAAATATTGAAACATATACAATATCACAAACAACACTTGAACAAATATTTTTATCATTTGGTAAACAAGCTAATGATGCTTAATAATGAAGAATGTTATCAATAAATTTTGCTTTTTTATAACAAAATATCTACAAACATTTCTATGTGATTGTTTGAATATTTATTTATTTATTTTGTATTTTAAATTTTTTCTGATTTTTTAAAATAAAAAAAAGAATCATAATCGACAAATTAACTCTTGAATTGATATCTAATCAACAAGGGTGGGTGTGGCAGTGCCCGGGTATATTCATCCAGCGCACACCTATACAAACCCCAATAACTACAGCCGCAATATCATGTACACATTAGTCATGAAAATATCCAAACACATCCATTATTTTTTATCATTTCGACATTATTTGTACGATAGCCGCTCGCCCAAGGGGGAAACATCGTACTTTTGTACTTTCGTACTTTAATGTACTTTAATGTACTTTAATGTACTTTAAAGTACTTTAAGGTACTTTAAAGTACTTTAAGGTACTTTAATGTACTTTAAGGTTCTTTAAAGTACTTTAATGTACTTTAATATACTTTAAAGTACTTTAATGTACTTTAATATACTTTAACGTACTTTAATGTACTTTAACGTACTTCATGTACTTTAAAGTACTTCATTGTAAGGGAGCGGGATTTTCGGGAAAATAACTATTTATAATAAAGGTTGACGAAAGTAAATCGGGGTCTGGGAATCCGAATCTGCAATCGGTTTCTCAAAATTTTGCAGTGGATTTTTGGGCTAAGGAAGAAGTATTTTCGGGAAATAACGATTTTCTATAAAGGTTGACGAAAGTAAATCGGGGTCGGGGAATCCGAATCTGCAAATAGTTTCTCGAAATTTTGAAGTGGATTTTTGGGCTGAGGAAGAGGTATTTGGAGAAAATAACGATTTAAAATAAAGGTTGACGAAAGTAAATCGGGGTTAGGGAATTCGAATCTCCAGTCGGTTTCTCAAAATTCCGAGGTGGATTCTTGAGTTAAGGAAGGGATATTTCGAAGGAATAACGATTTATTA